GGGCGAGCATATATATATATATATCTGTAGAAGGGATGGCGACATCCTGGAATCCGCCTCTCCTGTCAGCCTTTCTTGTGTGATGTGTGTGTTTATGAAGTAATCTAGCTGCGTTGCGTTGTTGGTTGTGCTAATCATGCATACGGCAGGGCATTTCAGATAGACAGCACGCACATAAAAGTTCAGATTACATGGGGCATCTTTCCTCGTTGCATCTTTATCGCAGGCAAAAAGTTGGATCCTAAGCCCTAAACTGAGGGTGACAACGCTACCCCCACATGGTTACAGCCCCCAGCTTAGGAACACAATTAAGCCCTATATGGTCCTTACTACCTTGAACCCTGGGCATGGTACTGTTGGGGGGAATGGCACTATAACCCCTTACCTAGGCTTTAGGTTCCATTTCATTTTCCATGAATTGGTCCATTTGACTCTTTATTATTCGGCCCCAGATAAGCTTAATATACCTACCTAGAATCCCTTCGGATCCAACATTGAGCCCTGAAGCCTGGAAATCTTGCCTACATTGGGCTATTTGGATGCCTAGGGTAATCCCCTTCAACAAGCTTGAGACGCAGGCGCTGTGCTCGGTGTAGTTCTCGCCTACCAGGTCCAGGCGGGTGGCTTTAAGGGGGTGTTGATCTTTGGGGGATTGCTCTGTAGGGTTCATATAGGCTAACTGGGGTTATATAGGGTTTAGGGGGTTGAGGGCCGTCAGGGCTTTGGGTCGAAAGTCACGGGTTGAAGGTTAAGGGTTTAAGCTTGGGGGCCTGTAGTGTTCAGGGTCGAAGTCTAGGGCCCCGCTCCCGTGAAAGTTGTTTCCGTTACCCATGTAGCTATTTGTGGCTGTGCTTGGAGGCAAGATGAGGAGAAAATCGCGACATGAAGGAACGGAAGTCATTGCAGCGCTTGAAATCAGGACTAGACCTATGTTGTTATGTCGCTGATGCGACGCTTCTGTGTGGGCTCCCCAACCACAATGCTGTTCTCTTCGCACCCAAACATCTTTCACCTACTGCCAAATGGCTAGTGGCAAGAGTTATCATAAGATGGCACCTAGCCATTGCAAGTGTCATCGCCCGAGAGAAGGGCTTTTCGATATTTACGGAGCACCTTTGGAGGGATTCTGCGAGCGAATCCCTGCCCAAGGTTGTTCGGGGTTCATAACCCTAAGTCCCAAACCCCAAGCCCTCAGCCCTAGAACCCCTAAACCCTAAATCTCCTAAACCCTAAACCCCTAAACCTTATTCCCTAAAACCCAAACCCTAAATCCGAGACCGCCAGGTGATTCTGATGAGCACATCTCCCCATTTGCGGCAGTCTCCAATTCTCGCAAAGCACTGCAATTAGCATGCTTGGTGGGGTGTAGGGTTTGAGTGTTTTTGCGGTTTTAGGATTCAGGTTTTAGGGTTCTAAGGTTTTGGTTTTAAGGTTTTAGGGTATACCACAATGTGTCCTACTGTGGGATTTAGGGTTGCAAGCGGCTTAGGGAACGAGTTAAGGGCTTGGGTCGCATCATACCTTTATTACACGAGGGATTTAGAGGGATTGATTGGGCTCTCCTTTACCGAAAGTCTACACCCTAAACCCTAAAGCGCTGCAAAGCGCATCAGGTAAAGTACTACTGGGCCATTGCAGCTGCCTCCGCGCTGGTATTTGCGTTCATAGCGCATAAAATGCGGGAGGACGGGATGAGAACCAGAGAGCTTTGCAAAGCAGATGACCTTCTTTGTGTAAAAAAGCCATGTTCACAGAGTAGGCTTTGGTCCTGGCCTGTCAGTCACGATCTGTTGATTTTGGGTGGCTTTGTCAGGAGGCATAATGTGCAGTCAGAGCGGCTAAGACTTACTCTGAGTGAAGTGGAGCCCGGGCAATATACGAGGCTCTGAAGAATAGTCTTCACCCATCCATGTCTATGGCCTCGAATGCTTTCCCTTCTCTTCACCCCTGAGCACTCACGATATTGAAGATGAGCACGCTGAATCTCGATACCTTCAGTAGGATTGTGCTTGCATTGTTGATCGCCTATCAAAGCCCCACAACCCCTAAGAGCGAAAAGCCTACAGCCCTGTATGGTAGTTTCCCTAAATAGGGGGACCCCAATATAGACCCCAAAATACTATAGTCCTTATCATGGGGACCCCCAAAATGGTACCCCTAATTTTGGGAAACCTCCGTATACTGCCTATGTAGCAGGACATCTTCATCCTGGTGACTTCCGTACTTGGCTCCTTCGCAGTTTCCATTGCATCCCGTGGCCTGTTGCTGGACTACTTCCATGTCAGGCCAGGCTGGCAGTGGAGTTTTAGATTTGGGCCTTGGGATCAGGGTTTAGGGGTTTAGGGTTTAGGGTTTAGGGTTTGGATGTAGGTAGTAGGGTTGTGGGTTGAGGAGTTGCAGGATTTTGCTGGGTAGGGGTCGGATTTACGTAGAACTTGCCCGAGAAGCAAAGGCTTGGTGGGGATTCTCCTGGGCAATAGAAGCACAATGCGAGTTTAGGAGGGCCTACTAGAAGATCCATCATCCTTTGGGTGGGGTTTAGGATCTGGGGTTTAGGGTCTAGGAAGGTTTAGGGTGTAGGATTTAGGGTTTGGGGGACTACCTGAGGACTAATTTTGGCATAGGACCCAAGCACAACACCATTCGAAAACAGGTCCGAAACTTGAATTACCAAGCCAGTGGGTTCAAATGGAGACGTGTTCCATAAATATCGTAAACCCTAAACCCTAGAACCCTGCTGCATTACATTTTTATTGTGGAGGCCAAGGATCCTCAACCCTAAGCCTTAAAATGGTACTGTAGCTTCCATTGCACTTGCCATGTGATGCCCATCATTCCTATGTAAGCTCTTGTCTAGACTTCTAGTATCCCCCTTAATAGCCCCTATAGAATCTCCTATGAAACCCCTTTCAGGAGTTTAGATTATGGTTCATATATCATGCTGAATCTCATTGTGTGGTCCTAAACCTGCTGAAGGATGACAGATTTGGCGGAGCTCCTCCTCATGGTTGGCTTGCTTCTGGAACAGTGTTGATTTTAGGGGCAGGGTTTAGTGGTTAGGGCACTTTACACGGTTTGGAGTTTGGGGCTTAGGGGTGTAGGATTTTTGTTGTGGTTTGGTGCCTGCTGATTGCAGAATTCTGTTACGCTTATAGTTACAAGTGCACCCAGGTTGATCCTTGGAATGGTCTACCAGCACAAGACCCACAAGCAAGAGTGATCCTGCTCCAGCGGCTTATAGGCAGAAAGTAGGATTTGGGGGTTTGGGGTTGAGAGATTAGGTTGTATGGACATATAACGCTGATTGTTTGCACAGGCTGCACAGCACGTCCAAGAGTCCTCCTGTCTCGCGATTGCAATAGAGACAGCTGAAGTAGAAAGAAGCAGCAGATGCGGTTCTGCGGCATACAATGATCCAACGACGTTTGTGGAAACCAATGATATCATTGCCTGCTGGGTGACGAAACAAAACGGCAAGCTACTGTCTCGAAAGCCTTCTTGCTTTGGTAGTTTAAAAGCAATCTGTGAGTGCGGCTATGTATGAGCCTTATTCATATATAAAAAGGCATCAATATTACCTAGATATCATAGTTCCGTCGATTTGCCATTCCCTTGCGATCTCGCGCAGAATATGCTCCTGCTAATTCTTCGGCATTTACGAATGGAATAAATGAAACTTGGAGGAACCGAAATATATTTGAAAGATAGATATCAATCTTTCAAGAAATATGCCCTGAATTTTTAATCAATCAGAACGGCTATATTCAAATCTAAAATTTAATATTACGATCTAATCCTATAAAACTAATTAACGATTTGGAATAGATTTTCATTTTTTTTTAATTCTAAATTCCTTGACCGCAGACCAATTTTTTTCTATGATTATCATCAGAAATCATATAAAAGAATGGGATATTGATTAGATATAAATCAAGGTTATCAAGATTTCTTAAATACCTATATATATCATATAATATACGAAATTCTAAAATGAAGATTGATATATATATTTAATATATTGAAAATTATGATGGGAATATTTGGTATTATTTCGATCGGGCGTGCGGTCTATTTTTTTTCTGATTTAATCTCTAAAATTTCGGAAGCGGGCATTACGACTAAAAGATCTCGGAGATTTTTGGCCACGACGATTTCCGGGGGATCTCTCTCTCTTTGATTATTTGCTCGGCTATTCGACGGAGAATATGAAATCGGCAATTTTGTTCTTAATTCATAGGTTGATCGTATTTGATTACGAATTTATACGCGTTCTCCGAATCTCGCATATCTATCCTAAGAGAGATATATGAAATGGAAAGATCGAATCGGATATGAGGATCGTGCGATCTAAATGATATCGAATTATTTCTCTTTCTTGACCAATTCTTTCTTTGATTATCTGCACGCCCTTCGGAGGGGAGAAGGAGAAGACCCGGGACGGAGATCGAAAATCTTTCAGACTAGCGCGTACGTCCTTGAAATATTAATGGAATATCGGATTTCATATACGAATTTATATATTATTTGGTCGTTAGATTTCTTATTATAGATTTTATCAATTCTTGCAAATAATGGGTCTATTCTAATTCATAATATTTCGACAATATGAGATTTAATGATATTCATATTTTTTTTTTTAGCTTCTACGAGAAATATAAATAAAGATGACATTCGATTGATTAATGAATAATATTTTCATGATACTTCTTTGAATGAAAAGATTATATAAAATTATATAGAAGGAAGGATCTAATTAGAATGAAAAAAAGAATCTAATCTATTTAGATATTTGATAATTTCAATTTCTTTAATATATTTGAAGATTGATCTATCTCATATTCTTATTTATTATGAAATTTCAAAATAGATAATTACGATTTTTTCAAAAATATATGAAATATTTTTCTTTAATTATTCAAAATAAGAAATATTTCATATACATTCTAAATTTGATATTTTTTCGATAATGATTTTATGAAATTCATATCTTGAAAATAAAAATTTATAAGATATAATTTTGAAAATATTATATTTAATTTCGAGAATAAAGATAGAATAGATTCATTCCTTAGATCTCTGAACCTATCTATATCTAGAAATTCAATGAATAATCAAGAAAAGAAGGTCGTCCGCATAATTCGATGAATAATCAAATTTTAGAATTAGATATAAAACCGTATATGATAATAAAAATGAATTTATAGATTCTGAAAGATTTTAGATATCCGCACAATCTAAGATAGAATCGCCGCGCAAATTATAAAAAGGAGAGAGAGAGATTTATAGATTCTGAAAAGATTTAGATTCCCCATCCCGGCTCTATATTATACGCTCTATCGAATAATCACTCCAAATATCCAAAGAGAAATAAATCACGCGGAAAATCGCTCCAGAGGCAAAGACCCCGCGAACAAAAATCTCGGAGATTTTTAGTCGTATGCCCGCGCCAATATTCTCGAAGATTTAAAAAATTCTAGTTTTTCCGAAGGGCTCTAAAAAGATCTCCGAGCTTTTAGAATCCCTAGAGAGTCCTCAAGCGGTTTTTTTTTAATGCGACTCGGACAAAATATACCACGCGCGGACGAAATAATATCTCCAAATTGCCTCATATCATTGAAATATTCATATCAATTCTAATAGAAATATAGAGAAATCATATTCTTTATCTCAATAAAATTTAGTTCTTTAGTTTTCAAAATAGAGAATTTCTTTTCTAATATCTCATGAAATTATCTATTATATATTTCGTATTGAGCCTCTACTTTCTGAATATCTAGATTTTATAAATTAAAAGATGAGAATATATTTAATAGATATTAATATATCTAATTATTCTATTATCTTAGAAATATATAGATATATATATTTTTTTCATATAATTTATTCGATACAAATCTTCTATTGATTTTGAAATATATTTTCAAAATAAGAAATCATTATCTCTCGAATATTTTCTCATTTTTTTTTATCTATATTAAAGAGATATATTAATATCGGAATCGAAATAGAAATCATAATAGAATAGAAAAAATTATTCTCGATATTTATATTATTCATTCAATTCTCCGCATCAAGAAATAGAAATCATAAAAGAATAAAATGAAAATGAAATCATTCTTAATAATTACGCAAAACGATCGATTCTCTGATATAAGAAATATTAGACTACCATATTATCTATTTATATATTCTTCAAATTCATAGAATTCAAATATTCCGAAAAAATATCGTAATTATTTTCTATCGATATATAAAAAATTCAATAACGATAAATATTATGAAAATGAATTCTCCCTTAGAAAGATTCATAATTACGAATAATCATAAATTCGATATTACGAAATAAATAAATCCATATTTTCAAATTCTCATATATTCCCTATGCGAAAAAAATAAAGCAATATAATAATTTTATTCGAAAAGATTTTTAAATCTTAGAAAAAATTTTCATTTCCAATAATTCTTTTCAATTTTTTCAAATATTTATATCATTATATCTTAGTTTCCCATATAAATATATAAAATAAAAATTCGATAAAATTCATCTAAACAAAATACGTACTTTTATATCTCATGAATTTCCTCAAATAGAATCATATATTTTTTAAAATCAATTATCTCTATCCAATTCTCGTATCTTATATAATATTTGAAAATTTTCGATCAAAAAAAAACCATCTTCATAATACCACCTTATCGAAGTTAAAATAATTCGATTATCTTCAGAAAATTTCTTATCTCGATATTTGCCTCCTATTTAAACCATAAAATCAACGATTTCTATTTAAAGAAATTCTACGACTATCAAGAAAATTCATAAAATAATATATGTAGAAATTAATATAATCTAATTTTACATAGATTATTTTTCCGTATAATATTTTTGAATATAAATAATTGCATATAATATTTCTTATATCTAGAATGTCTATTCGCATCGATGCGAAAAAATATTCTCAAATGAATCGAATATATATATATATTTTTTTTTAAAATAATCTAAGCGATTTTCATTTTAGTTCCAATATTTCGTATCTATGATGTAAAATAACCAGAAATTACCCCTCAAATTCAAATGCAATTTTGTGTAATCCGACCGCAATTTCCTATAATTCGGGCGCAACTTCGAAAAAGGCATTTTTCCGCGGCACATATTTCTGAACGCAAGAGCGGATAAAATTCAGAGAGATAAATTCGTATATCATTTGGTCCTCTAAATACCAATATTCCATGTATTTTTTATTTTCTATACATTTTATTTATAGAAGTTAGCAGCCCGTAAGAGAGAATATTCTATGCTAATCATTACAAGAAAATCTATAGATTAGATATCTTATCTGACCCATGTTGAGTCCCAGCTTGCCATATGCAGAAATAGAATCTACCATGCAGATCCCTTCGATTTCTCCCATCAGACTTCGCGAATTGCCGCGTCCTTGCTCGATACATCTTTGTGAACCTGAACGCAAAGTTGGCCGCTTAGTACGTGGGGTCTCCAGAAAAATTGGATTGCGCTCGTTTGTATATGACAACTACTTACTCCAGCTCGCAATCAAACAGTTTTTCCTGCTTCTGAGCAACCCAGTCTGTTCCAAGAAGAATTCAACTATGTCGACAACTGTCGCAACCAAAACCACTGCAACAGCCGCAGCCCGAAAACCCCAAAGACCTAAACCAAACCCGTCACATCGCATCCGGGACCCCTCATCTGTTAGACCCTGCCTTTGGCTCTTTCCCAAGACGCTTTGCCCAAGTGACTACTTTGGCACCTGGCAAGCATAGCACCCGAGGATTTGCAGGTGACTGTGCCGTTGGTGGAACATGAACCGGTGGGACAAAACAGCGTGTGTAAACAAGCAACAATAACTTAGGTTGGGCCCACCCACTGATAGTGACCACCTGGCAAGAATGGTGCCTATGTTAAGTTCCGTGTATTCCTTTAGCACCACTATTACTGGGTGGGGGCCTAACCCAATTAGGACCTCAGGTTCAGAGTACAAGTGGGAAATTCGGCAAATAAGCGCACCCTAAAGCTACTTCCTGGCCTGGCAGGACAATGTGTTCACCAAGACTGAGGATTTAGGGTTTAGGCGACGAACGCTAGTGGGAACAATACCCACAAATAATGAATGGCCAGCAAAAATTCACCAATCCTTAGAGACCCTGTTGGAGAAGGGAAGCCACGATGAACAGTCATTGTGAAATAAAAGCTGCTCAATG